CATCCCCCCGCCCCAGCCATCCAAAGCCTTGAGAAAATCAAGGCGGGAATCTCTCGCCTCCTCGGCCTCCGAGACCATCGCTGGGGGCCTGGGGCCGTCAAAAAACAACTCCGAATGAAGAGGCCCGTCTGGAGGAAAGGGGCCAGGCGTTCCTGGGGCCGTTCACTGAGAAAACCGAGACACCGGATCTCTTGGCTTAAGTCGGGCACGTCCCTCTACAGGAGGAAAATTCAAATTACCCTGGGGACGTACCCAACCCCTGCGCAAACGCGGGGCGCAAATAGTTTAGGACACTTTATAAAGGGGGCGATGACGGAACGAGGGTTACATATGTCTGCAGACGGAATTCGGGACACTCGCAGGACACTGGCTACAGGACAAGGACTAAATAAAGCAAATTAGTTGCAATCCCTGAGCAACCCTAGCCACTTCGAAGGCGGGGATCTCAGATCGCAGCCCCCCAGGGATGGCGAGGTCTAATTTGGGTCCGCGCGTGGCGACACTGTGCTGGGCCCCCCAGCAGGCCTCGAAAGTGGCGACAGTTTCACAGATCGCAGCCCCCCAGGGATGGCGAGGTCTAACTTGAATCTGCGTGTGGCGTCACTGTGCTGGGCCCCCCAGCAGGCCTCGAAAGTGGCGACAGTTTCACAGATCGCAGCCCCCCCAGGGATGGCGAGGTCTAATTTGAATCTGCGTGTGGCGTCACTGTGCTGGGCCCCCCAGCAGGCCTCGAAAGTGGCGACGAAAGTGGCGACAGTTTCACAGATCGCAGCCCCCCAGGGATGGCGAGGTCTAATTTGAATCTGCGTCACTGTGCTGGGCCCCCCAGCAGGCCTCGAAAGTGGCGACAGTTTCACAGATCGCAGCCCCCCAGGGTGGCGGCGAGGTGCTCAGATAGTCGCCCCCCAGGGATGGCGAGGTCTAATTTACCTCACTGTGCTGGGCCCCCCAGCAGGCCTCGAAAGTGGCGACAGTTTCACAGATCGCAGCCCCCCAGGGATGGCGAGGTCTAATCTGAGTCCGCCGTGGCCTCACTGTGCTGGGCCCCCCAGCAGGCCTCGAAAGTGGCGACAGTTTCACAGATCGCAGCCCCCCAGGGATGGCGAGGTCTAATTTGGTCCGCGGTGTACCCACTGTGCTGGGCCCCCCAGCAGGCCTCGAAAGTGGCGACAGTTTCACAGATCGCAGCCCCCCAGGGATGGCGAGGTCTAATTTGGGTCCGCGGTGGGTACCCACTGTGCTGGGCCCCCCAGCAGGCCTCGAAAGTGGCGACAGTTTCACACATCGCAGCCCCCCAGGGATGGCGAGGTCTAATTTGAGTCCGCGGTTACCCACTGTGCTGGGCCCCCCAGCAGGCCTCGAAAGTGGCGACATTTCACAGATCGCAGCCCCCCAAGGATGGCGAGGTCATCAAAGGTAGGGGGGAAGGGAGGGAAGGAAGGAGACGCGCGAGCAGTGCTCTATTCAAAACGAGAACCCAACGCAGGAGGGTTGGGAAAAAATGCCCTGTGACGTACCCAACCCATTTGTATCAATGGAAACGAGGAGTTGGCCGAAACTTGCATGGACAATCAACTTGATGTGTAAGCTACTTGGGACACGCGCCTATGGCATGATGCGCAGGAGAACCATACAAGAACGATGGGCGACAGCTACAGGCTCGAAGAGGACATGGGGAGTCGGGAACGCAAAGCAGGAGAAAAACGTTCGGGAAGCCGAACCATCAGCACGGCAGCAGCAGAGGGAACGTGGCTGCAGGAGGAGAACAAGGACGAAAGCGGCGCCTAATTTGAGTCTGCGGTGGGTACCCACTGTGCTGTGCCCCGCAGCAGCCCTCGAACGTGGCAACAGTTTCACAGATCGCAGCCCCCCAGGGATGGCGAGGTCTAACTTGAGTCTGCGGTGGGTAACCACTGTGCTGTGCCCCCCAAGCAGCCCTCGAAAGTGGCGACAGTTTCACAGATCGCAGCCCCCCACGGATGGCGAGGTCAAATTTGAATCTGCTGTGAGTACCCACTGTGCTGGGCCCCCCAGCAGGCCCCGAAAGCGGCGACAGTTTCACAGATCGCGGCCCCCCAGGGATGGCGAGGTCTAATTTGAGTCTGCGGTGGGTACCCACTGTGCTGGGCCCCCCAGCAGGCCTCGAAAGTGGCGACAGTTTTACAGATCGCAGCCCCCCAGGGATGGCGAGGTCTCATTTGAGTCTGCCCGTGGCCCCACTGTGCTGGGCCCCCCAGCAGGCCTCGAAAGTGGCGACAGTTTCACAGATCGTAGCCCCCCAGGGATGGCGAGGTCTAATTTGAATCTGCGGTGGGTACCCACTGTGCTGGGCCCCCCAGCAGGCCTCGAAAGTGGCGACAGTTTCACAGATCGCAGCCCCCCAGGGATGGCGAGGTCTAATTTGGGTCTGCGGTGAGTACCCACTGTGCTGGGCCCCCCAGCAGGCCTCGAAAGTGGCGACAGTTTCACAGATCGCAGCCCCCCAGGGATGGCGAGGTCTAATTTGGGTCCGCGGTGAGTACCCACTGTGCTGGGCCCCCCCCAGGCCTCGAAAGACAGTTTCACTCGAAGCCCCCCAGGGATGGCGAGGCAGTCCGCGAGTACCCACTGTGCGGCCCCCCAGCATCGCGACAGTTTCACAGATCGCAGCCCCCCACGGATGGCGAGGTCTAATGTGAGTCCGCGGTGAGTACCCACTGTGCTGGCCCCCCCCAGCAGGCCTCGAAAGTGGCGACAGTTTCACAGATCGCAGCCCCCCAGGGATGGCGAGGTCTAATTTGAGTCCGCGGTGGGTACCCACTGTGCTGGGCCCCCCAGCAGGCCTCGAAAGTGGCGACAGTTTCACAAATCGCAGCCCCCCAGCTGGCACGCAGCGACTAGCGAAGTAAAAGGCAGGGGGGAAGAGAGGGACGGGAAGGAAGTAAGAAAGGAGACGCGCGAGCAGTGCTCTATTCAAAACGAGAACCCAACGCAGGAGGGTTGGGAATAAATCAATTAGCCTGGCGTCGTACCCAACCCCTGCGCAAAAGCGGGGCGCAAATAGTTTAGGATACTTTATAAGGGGGCGATGACGGAGCGAGGGTTACATATGTCTGGAAACGGAATTCGGGAGACTCGCAGGACACTGGCTACAGGAAAAGGGCTTGATAAAGCTGATGAGTTACAATTCCTGAGCACTCCTAGCCATTTCGCAAACGGGGATCACAGCAGGCCTCGAAAGTGGCGACAGTTTCACAGATCGCAGCCCCGCAGGGATGGCGAGGTCTAATTTGGGTCCGCGCGTGGCGTCACTGTGTGGGCCCCCAGCAGGCCTCGAAAGTGGCGACAGTTTCACAGATCGCAGCCTCCAGGGGATGGCGAGGTCTCATTTGAATCTCGTGGCGTCACTGTGCGGGCCCCCCAGCAGGCCTCGAAAATGGCGACAGTTTCACAGATCGCAGCCCCCAGGGATGGCGAGGTCTAATTTGAATCTGCCCGTGGCCCTAACTGTGCGGGCCCCCCAGCAGGCCTCGAAAGTGGCGACAGTTTCACAGATCGCAGCCCCCCAGGGATGGCGAGGTCTAATTTGAATCTGCCCGTGGCCCTCACTGTGCTGGGCCCCCCAGCAGGCCTCGAAAATGGCGACAGTTTCACAGATCGCAGCCCCCCAGGGATGGCGAGGTCTAATTTGAATCCGCGCGTGCCCTCACTGTGCTGGGCCCCCCAGCAGGCCTCGAAAGTGGCGACAGTTTCACAGATCGCAGCCCCCCAGGGATGGCGAGGTCTAATTTGAATCCGCGGTGGCCCTCACTGTGCTGGGCCCCCCAGCAGGCCTCGAAAATGGCGACAGTTTCACAGATCGCAGCCCCCCAGGGATGGCGAGGTCTAATTTGAACCCGCTCACTGTGCTGGGCCCCCCAGCAGGCCTCGAAATGGCGACAGTTTCACAGATCGCAGACCCCCAGGGATGGCGAGGTCTAATTTGATCTGCGGTGGCCCCACTGTGCTGGGCCCCCCAGCAGGCCTCGAAAATGGCGACAGTTTCGCAGATCGCAGCCCCCCAGGGATGGCGAGGTCTAATTTGAATCCGCGCGTGGCCCTCACTGTGCTGGGCCCCCCAGCAGGCCTCGAAAATGGCGACAGTTTCACAGATCGCAGCCCCCCCAGGGATGGCGAGTCTCACTTGAGTCTGCCCGTGTGCCCTCACTGTGCTGGGCCCCCCAGCAGGCCTCGAAAGTGGCGTCAGTTTCTCACATCGCAGCCCCCCAGGGATGGCGAGGTCTAATTTGAATCTGCGCGTGGCCCTCACTGTGCTGGGCCCCCCAGCAGGCCTCGAAAGTGGCGACAGTTTCACAGATCGCAGCCCCCCAGGGATGGCGAGGTCTAATTTGAATCTGCCCGTGGCCCTCACTGTGCTGGGCCCCCCAGCAGGCCTCGAAAGTGGCGACAGTTTCACAGATCGCAGCCCCCCAGGGATGGCGAGGTCTAATTTGAATCTGCCGCGGTTACCCTCTATGCGGACCCCCCAGCAGGCCTCGAAAGTGGCGACAGTTTCACAGATCGCAGCCCCCCGCAGGCAAGACAGGAAGAGGCAGGGAGGGAGGGAGGAGGAGGAAGGAGTGGAGACCACACTGCTCTATTCAAAACGAATACCCAACCAAGGAGGGTTGGGAAAACGAGAACCCAACGCAGGAGGGTTGGGAATAAATCAAAAATAGTCTGGAGACGATTTCCCGACTGGTTTGGGATAGTTTGAATATCTGGTACTACATTTGATGTTTCGTCCAACACCCGCCTGTAGAAGGACATGCTCTGCAATGCCCGACCTACCTCTTGGCCCGATGGGGACGTCCCCAGCCCCCAGGGGCTGGCCGAAACGGCTCCGGCACGCAGGCGCGAGGTGGGGACTGCATTTTCGCCTCGGACATCCTGAGGGGCCACGGACGGAAGAAGCCGCATCGCCAGATGCCTGGGCGCGCGCGCGCGCGGAGGCACCGCCGGAGAGCGGCGGAGGGCCGGACGCGCGTCAGCTTCGAGTTCCGGTACGGCACAAAGGCCTCGCGGGCGGGGGCCCGGGCCTCCGACTCTGTGCTTCTGCAGTCCTGCTGCACTGGAACCCTGGGCCCCCCCCTCCTCCTCCTCTCTCCTCCTCCTCCTCCTCCTCCTCCTCACTCCCTCCTCCTCTGCCTCCTCCTCCTCCTCCTCCGCCTCCTCCTCCGCCTCCTCCCCTCCTCCTCCTCCTCCTCCTCCTCCTCCTCCTCCGCCTCCCCTCCTCCTCCTCCTCCTCCTCCTCCTCCTCCCTCCTCCTCCTCCCCTCCTCCTCCTCCTCCTCCTCGCCCTCCTCCTCCTCCTCCTCCTCCTCCTCCTCCTCCTCCTCCCCTCCTCATCCGCCTCCGCCTCCTCCTCCACCTCCTCCCTCCTCCTCCTCCCTCCTACCTCCTCCTCCTCCTCCGCCTCCTCCTCCTCCCTCCTCCTCCTCCTTCCTCCTCCTCCTCCTCCTCACTCCTCCTCCTCCTCCTCCTCCTCCTCCTCCTCCTCCTCCTTCCTCCCTCCTCCTCCTCCTCCCTCCCCCCTCCTCCTCCTCCCTCCCCCCTCCCTCCCTCCTCGCCTCCTCCCTTCCTCCCCCTCCCTCCTCCCCTCCTCCCTCCTCCCCTCCTCCCTCCTCCCCTCCTCCCATCCTCCCTCCTCCCTCCCCCTCTTCCTCCTCCTCCTCTCTACCTCCTCCCCTCCTCCTCCTCCTCCATCCTCCTCCTCCTCCTCCGCCTCCTCCTCCTCCTCCTCCTCCTCCTCCTTCGGCCGCCCGCCCTCCCCATTTTCCCTCTCTCTTGCACTGTGGCACAATTCGCCACAGTGGTGCCCCCGGTTAGTTCGCTCTTCCGCAAGCGCAGTTAAACTCTGCCTTGCCGCCGACGCAGAAAGAGTTTCTGCAGTCCTGGCGCGTTGCGCCAGCAAGGCCGGCGCAGCTGCTCCAGTTCTAGCCCGTGTTGCGGCCCGCTCTGGGCCCCAGAGCCAGCAGAGAACGACGCGACCGAGCCGTGCCATCAGGAGGAACGCCACACGGGCGACGATGAAAAAAGGATCTTACGCGAGATGACGTGGCGACCTTCCGCGGTGGCTTACGCGGGCCGCCGGCGCGGCACGCTGCATTGAAGACGAGGGCGCCTACGCGCGACCTTACGCGGGGAGCTTACGCGCCAATGTCGGCGCAGACGACCCTGTGTGTTCGCGTCGCTCAAATTAGGAGCGAAGGGGGTTGTGCTTTCTGGCTGCGGCGAGCCTGGGCCACGAATGGGTCCCCCGACCTGGATCCAAGGAACGGCCCCCAAGCCAAAGTTTGGTCCTTGCTTCCGCGTCCTGGCTGCGCGGGACGGCAAAGCGGGGCCCTGATGGGTAGTCGAGAGGTCTGGGGGTCGCGGATTGGAAAAGTCACAGCGTCGAAAGACAGGGACTCGAGCGGGTGCCCGAGCCTCTTCCAGCGCATGGTCATCCTCATCCTCGTCATACTCGTCATCCTCATCCTCATCATCCCTCCCCTCATCCTTCCTACCCCATGCTCCCTCTTCCTCCCTCTTCCTCCTCTTCCTCCTCCTCCTCCTCCATCCTCCCTCCTCCCTCCTTCTGCCTTCTCCCTGCTCGCCCAGCCATTAAACCGAAACGCGTACAAGCATTGAAGCTACAAAGACATTGTGTTGCAAGTGCCGCTACGGACACATACCAAACAATTCGCCAATCCCAATGAAACGGGTGTTCAGGACAGTAGATGCCCATTCGGCATTACGATCCTTAGATGTTACTGTCGGACTGCAGATTATTCCATGATTCCGCATGGCACATCTATTATCAAGAATGCTTTCACGAAGCGCCACCGTGCACGAAGCCTCCCTGACCAAGGATGCGCAATTGATGTTGATATAAGATTCTTCCCTTCTGAAGGATAGCTGAAGCACCCGAAAACCTGCAGCAGACCCAAGCGAAGAAGAAGCAGGAGCATGTCATCGAGCTGATAGTGAAAACCTGAGCGTCTCAGCCCAGGTGCACGATTGCCTTCACAAAATATCACATGACCATCACTCCTCTGTGTGATATCTCCTATTGACAATTGAGAGTACGTCCCTCCCTCTGGTAAGTATGGAATGTTCCGCTGCCGAGCAATTGTTTCCACCATTTTCTGTTCAAGAGAGCCAATGCGCTGATAATCAAAATTTCCAGCTTCCCCACTGAGGGAAAGGGGAGTCCACCATCCTAGCCGCCAGTCGCGAAGAAGAAGGAAGCAAGGAAGCCGAGGAAGGAGGGTGGGCAGCGTGGCTGCTCAAAACGGATGTCACGCACGTCGGCTATCCAAAACGCTGGCCCATGCAAGAAGTCAAAAAGCGCCGGCCACGGGAGAGGGATGACAGGTGGAAAAGGGACAAAGACATTCTGTGTGCGCGCACTCCCCATGGCTGGAGACTCAGAAGAAGGCACAGGAGTGGAGGAGAAGGGACAGCAGAAGGCACCAATGGGACATTGCATATTTGGCGCACGCACTCGCCAATAGATCAAACTTCCACTGGAGGCGGGCACTGCGGCGCCCAGCCAACGCGTCGCTGCTCCGCGGCGGCTGGCAAGGGCGAGCCTGGACGGCGAAAGCGGCCCCAGGTCGGCCAGCAACGGCTGTCAAGCACCACCGCGCTCTCTGCCCACGCAAACGGTAGCAGCGAGACCAGAAGTTCGGGGAGGGAGGGAGGAGGAAGGGGGGAGGGGTACTCCAGATTTCGTAATAAAAGGGAGGGGGTCTGGACCCTCCAAGACAAGCCATTTCAGACCTCCCCCGTGGGAGAGCCCTCCAAAACATCGTCCCCAGACCCCCCAGGCCCTCCAAGATAGCCTGGAAGAGACCCCCCCCCCGAAATGAGACCCCCCTCCCTTTTATTTACCACATCTGGGGCAGACCACCCCCCGAACTCCTGCGCGAGCATTGCCCCGACTACCAGCCCCCCGCGGTCCAGATCCGGAGCTCCCCGCGGCAGAACTCGGGGGGGAGCGAGGGCGAGACAGGCAGGATTGCAAAAAAACAAAGGATTGCAAAAAAAAAAAACGAAGGATTGCAAAAAAACGAAGGATTGCAAAAAAAACATAGTTTTTTTGCAATCCTTCGTTTTTTTGCAATCCTTCGTTCGAGGCAGAAAGCCCGCCAACCCCAACGGGGCTACCCAGCGTTCCGCCGCCGGGAGCAGGGGCAGGAGGAAAAAGACGAGGGGGGGAGGAATGCGAATCGGTCCTGCTGGACTCGGAAAGCACCGCGAAACGCTTCGATCTATGAATCGTGCGCTCAGCACCCTCCGCCGCGAAATCGATCTGCCGCGGAGTCGGTGAGCCGTGGCCGCAATAAGGTGACCAAATAGCGGCTCAGAAACTTATATGGCCAGCGCCGCTGGCGCGACGCCAAGGACGGATGAGGAGGAGGAGGAGGAGGAGGAGCAGGAGGAGGAGGAGGAGGAGAGAGGGAAAGAAAGAGAAGCGCCAAAGCTACTCGCATCCCCGCGTGAAAGATAAAGACGGCTGAACGGGCAAAGGGCGCCGCCAAAGCCAAGCTTCTCAGTGCCGCGCGCCTGCTGCTTCCACAATATTGTACCTGGCAATCACTCTTCAGTCTCACTGTGTGCGCACCTCGGCATGGCACCTGTGAAAAGGCGAGTATATCTTATAAGTATGGGATACCACACTCACCGTAACCATCGCTTCTACAGCATATCACATGACCATCACTCCCCAGTAACACTTTGTGCCAAACTCCAGCAAGCACTTGAAATGACGTCACTCTGACGACTCCCCGATGTCGCACTGACCCAGAACATCATCTCTACGCGCAACGATCTGACCATCACTCCTTCGTAACACTGTATGTGCACGTCTGGCAGACACTTGAGAATATGTCATTCCGTATGGTCAATCCCAAATGCTGGTAAATCCGGAATCCCGCACTGACCAGCACCATTGCTTCCACAAGATACCACCTGACCATCACTCTGGAGCAATACCATATGGCAAGCTCAAGCAGAAATTTCAGAGTGGGTCAATCCATCTGGTAAATCTGAAAGGTTCAGAGCGATTGCTTCCACCAGACACCACAAGTGTGGCCAAATCCACCAGACATTACAGAGTACGCCACCTGGTCTGGTTAACCTAGAATGTGACGCTCACCTGCACCATTGCTTCGACAAGGTACAACATGACCCTCTCTCATCAGTGTAACAGACTCTGAGAGCGTCAAGCGCAAGCGTAAAGCAGCGGTACACAGCTGGACCCGAAATGGCTCGAACCAAGATGGCAACGAAAGTGTACACACACACACACACACACACGCGGGGTTCAGACCGTTGCGATGGGTGGGGGAGGACGTTGCGGAAATCGGACGGACTTGGGGACTTGGATCAAACGAGACATCCTGGCGCGATGACCGAATACTCCAGACAGTTGAATCGCAAATTCTGCGCAGTCCCATCACACATCTCGCGCAGGCCAGTGCAAGCGAGAATTAACAACTCGATGGTTGGAAATTATATGTTCTGGCGGGCCTGCTACAATGTTCCTGCGCAGCGGTCCATGCAATGACATTGCAGTCCACAATCCCGTCGCAATTTCCGCGCTGGTGAGAGTCGTCGCAAACACATCCTTCGAGAAAATATCCGTTTATGGGCGGACCAAATGGAACTATGGCATTCTCAAAAGGCCTCTGCCACGCTCTTGCGCTACCGTGCGCGTCCATAGAGTCATTCCGCAAAGCTCTCGTCCAGAGGCGTGCGGGACAAGCCCCCGCGAGCCCCCCAGAGAGGCCTTCTTGCTCCCCTGCGCGTTGGCACTGAGCGCGCTGATCACGTTGCCTGCGGCGGGTCCCTCCAACTCGTTGTCGCCGTTCCCACCGTAGGTCGCCGCCGCCGTCGTCACCGCCGCCTTCATCGTTGCCGTCCTCCTGCTCCATCTCCAGGAGGCGGAAGAAAGAGAAGCAGGATGAGGAAGGGGGGAAGAAAGGGGAGAGAAGGAAGGAGGAGCACGACAACGCCGAGGCTGTCGAAGACGTCCTCGTCTACCTCTGCGGCGTAGTCCTCCTCCTCCTTCTTCTCCTCCTCCGCCTCCTCCTCCTCCTGCTCTTTCTCCTCCGTCTCCTCTGTATCCTGCGTATCGTCCTCCTCCTCCTCCTCCTCCTCCTCCTCCTCATCCTCCTGCTCCTCCAACTCTTCCCTACAATCAGTGGACTAATTTGCTAGTGGGAAGTTGGGTGTTGCGTGTCCGTCTAATGACCAACTGGCCGACTCAGCGATCGACGACGACAACGACGACGTCGAACGACGGCGACGACCGACAGGCAACGACGACGGCAACGACCACCGACCGACCGACCGACCGACCAACGACGACCGAACGACGACCGAACCTCAAAGGCCAAATCTAGAAGGCCGACCGAGACTGGCCGAGGTCAGATTCTAGAACGCGCGGGCCGGGTAAAATTCTAAAAGGAGCGCTTCGAGGACGCACCCCCCCCCTCCCCCCCCCTCCCTGGGAGACGGAGGTTGCGCTTTTTAGTGATATGTCAGAGAGGAGCGGTTGCAGGCGGAATGTACCAGATCGGGCCCCGAATCCTGCAAAGACCTACGGTTTTGAGACCACCCGCTGGGGCCGAATGAACCCGAATGAACCGCGAATGAACCGAGAATGACCCCCCAAATATGCCAGAATAGAACCCCCGAGTGAGCCCTCCCCAGCACTCCAGACGGACCCCGACTCAACACCCCAGACGTCGTCGTGAGAACATGACGTTAGACCCAAAACCTGCCCGGTTGGATATGCTCATTACAGCTCACTACCAACAATAGTCCACTGACTGTACTGCCTTTCATCCCCCATCAGCTTCCCCCATCATCCTGCCTCCTCCTCTTCCTCCTCCTCTTCCCCCTCCACGTCCTCCTCCTCCTCTTCCTCCTCCTCTCCTCCTCCTCCTCCTCCTCCTCCTCCTCCTCCTCCTCCTCCTCCTCCTCCTCCTCCTCCTCAACATCATCAGATTTCATCATCATCAGCACATCCTTATCATAATCACATCATCATCATCACCCACCACCACCACCACCTCCACTACCACCAACCATGCATCATCATCATCGTCCACCTCGGCGGCGTAGCCTCCTCCTCCTCCTCCGCATCCTCTCTCCCCTCCTCCTCCTCCTCCTCCTCCTCCCTCATCATCATCATCATCATCATCATCCACCATACATCACCATCATCATCAGCATCATCATCAGCATCAGCATCTCAACAGCAGCATCATCATCATCATCATCATCATCATCATCATAATCATCCAGCATATCATCATCACATCATTTTCATCAGCCCTCATCCATCATCAAACATCATTATCATCGTCGTCATCATCATCGTCAGCATCATCCATCATCTCAGCATCAGCATCGTCATCATCATCCTCATCACCGTCATAATCATCATCCTCATCTTCAGCATCCACATCATCATCATTAATATCATCATCATCTTCATCATCATCAATCCACTTCATACATCATCATCAGTAATCCTCATCATCATCCTCATCATCACCACCACCATCATGATCTCATCATCATCAGCAGCAGATCATCATCACATCAATCATCAATCATCACCACATCACATCATCATCCATCATCATCATCATCATCATCATACCATCATCATCATCATCATCATCATCATCATCATCCCCCTCCTGCTCATCTCCCTCCTCCTCCTCCTCCTCCTCCTCCACATCCTCCTCCTCCTCCTCCTCCTCCTCCCCCTCCTGCTCCTCCCCCTCCTGCTCGTCCTCCTCCTCACCCATCCGCCTCGCGATTCACCTCGTCGTCGTACTCCTCCCCATCACCCTCCGCTGCCGCACTTTCCCGAAGAGAAGCCAGGAGAGCGGCTTCGGAACGGATCGGTCGCGCCAAGACCACATCATAAACCGTCCCGCTCCTCCTCCTCCTCATCCACCTCCTCCTCCCCCTCATCCTTCTCAACATCATCATCATCATCATCATCATCATCATCATCATCATCATCATCATCATCATCATCATCATCATCATGGTCATCATCATCATCATCATCATCATCATCATCATCATCATCATCATCATCATCATCAGCCATCATCAGCAGCATCATCAGCGCCATCATCATCATAATCAGAATCATCATCATCAGCAGCATCATCACCATCATCAGCATCAACGTCATCAGCATCATCGTCATGAGCATCATCGGCATCATCATCATCAGCATGAGCATCATCATCATCATCAACGGCATCAGAAGCATCATCATTCTACAATCATCAGTCTCATCAGCATCAGCAGCATCAGCATCCTAAAAAAGTCGTCACCACCATCGTCGTCGTCATCATCATCATCATCAGCAGCAGCATCATCATTATCATGAGCAGCAGCAGCAGCATCATCATCAGCAGCATCACCATATCAGCCAGCGTTGGCCAACGCCGCCTGACCTCACGGGGAAGCGCGCCGAGTCCGCGCGGAAACGGGAACCGTCGCTGGTCCACATGCCTTAGTCCAGGCTTTGCCTTTGGTGACCTGCGCCTGGCCAGGAGTCGCCAGAACGAGGGGGTGACTTGCTTTCGAGTTTCGGAGCACCGTTCTCAGTTCTCATCGGGGGACTGCATACTACCCATTGTGGGATCACGCTCTGCGGCGTGACAGCGAGGCACTAGTGACCTGTCAGCTCTCGAGTGTAGTATACGTACTTATCACGAGCAGGTGAATATTTCACGAAGTGGTCCTCTATGCTGCCTAAAAAAAAAAAAACAAAAAAAAAAACACAACAAAAAAAAAAAAAAAAAAAAAAAAAAAAAAACGCTTCCTGGATACCCCTCCCCCCCCCATGTAGCGCCCAGCGCGCTGAGCGACTTGTTGATGTTCGCGCCCTCTTTCAGGCGCGCCCCGTCTGCCTCGGGGGCCGGGCACAGAGGAGGCACAGCGGCACGACGCCATCTCTCCCTCCTCCATCCCTGCCACTCCATTACCCCTCTCTGCCTCCTCCTCCTCCTCCTCATCATCATCACCATCATCATCACCCATCATCATCATCATCGTCATCATCATCTTCGTCCCCTGCTCGTCCTCCTCCTCCGTCTAATCATCAATCATCCTCCTTTTTTTTAAGCTAGACCGACTCTAAGTTACCCTGTAGCGCGAATTAAAAATATGCACGCGACCCGACTCAAGCAAAAAAGGAAACCTGGCGGGCGCCGCGGGCCACGTGGGATAAGGAGCAACGGAAAAGAGTTGTCAATTGAGTAGGCGCCCGCCAGGTCTGTGGATATGTACAGCTTTGGTATCTTACACCACACCACTCCCCCGTAATTTACCCAGTAAGCTAAACCCAACATTCCATTAGAGGTACTTGCTGCGGAATGAGCGTGCTGTCGTAGCCAGCATAGAGTCAGGTGGAAGAGAATGCGAAGTCAGGTCAGCCGGGTAGCCTTCCTCCACCACCAAGTATCGCCCCCCCCCGTCGCAGTTTTCAAGGCTTGCCTGTGAGGCTGGCCTGTCCTGAGTGAAAGCGGCAGCGCGAAGTAGCCTGGTGATACAGGTTCTATTACAGCAGCTCTTGCGAAGCTGCTTATGCTGTATTCGAATATCCGCAGTCACGTAAGCTGTCGTGCAGCGTAGAGACACTCAAGTGTGGCAGCTCCAGGGTTGCCGCCCAGGATTCTTGGGTTCACCCCGAACCGCATCGGTACTGGGACTCCTCCTCCTCCGACTTCAACCAGGACTCCACCACCTCCGCAGTCACATGAGCTGTCTTGCGGCACAGAAGAGACACTAAAACGTGGCAGTTCTAGGGTTGCCGCCCAAGGCTTTTTGGGTTCACCCCGAACCACACCGGTGCTGGGACCCTCGTGGTGTTCGAATGATTGTTCTCGGGTTTGGCACGAACCCAATAGCCAAGCAAGACAGACGTGTGGTAGGTGTTGCAGGCTGGCCTTGTTTTAAGGCTGGCCTACGGGGTATAGGAGCCCTATATGTGGCTGGGCGCAGCTAATACGTCATACGTGAGCAGACTGCTCACGTAAGGTCTAGTTCAGCAAAAAAAAGGATGTGCTGTCTGGCTGCTGCAAGAATAACACAACTGTACTGCGGATATGCTTCTAGTACTCTGGAGCTAGGTGCATACAGCCACCGGTGTGTACTCATTGATTCCCTATGGGATCTGAAAAAGTGGCGTGCTGTCGCCAAAGTGCTGCTGTCTAGCTGTGGTCCGAGGCTGCATGTGCAAAATGGTGCGCCTTGGGCGCCCATCAAAGTCAGCCTTGAGTGTCTAGCTGTAGGTATATACAGCAGTACACTAAGCTTTGAAGAAGTGCTGTGCAACCCTAGGGCTGCGACCCATGGTTATTTAGGATAACCCCGAACCTGCAACCAGGAGAGTGCCGCCATGCGTGTCGAAACCACGGGCAGAAAGGGAGGATGCTCAGCAGATCGGTGATGTGGGTAGACAGGGAAATATATGAAAAAATGTGCAATCCTAGGATTACGACCCCGGGTTTTGTGGGATAAACCCGGAGCCTGCAGAGAGCGCCTCTACCCCAGCGCCTTCCAGCCACCACCGCAACCTCACTGAATTGAATGTTGGTAGCCTTCGGGGGCCCACTGGTGGAAGCAGCCTGCACCTCAGGACAGGGTAAGTCAAGTGAACAGCTGATGTACAGACTGCTTCCAGACGTAACTGTGCATGCTGCTGCTTGCACACAGAACCACAAGTGAGAGGGACCGCGGCAGTAGTACTAAGAAAGTGTGGCCAAAAGGAGTCCTCCTCACCCCCCTCCTCCTCCTCCTCCTCCTCCTCCTCCTCCTCCTCCTCCTCCTCCTCCTCCTCCTCCTCACCCTCCTCACCCTCCTCCGACTCCTCCTCCATCCTCGCC